GAAACTCACAAAAGACATTATTTATTAGATGTTAAAAAACAACTGGTACATTCGTGACTCCAAAAAGTATGACATTATATTCAAAATGTCCATGTCTGATTCAAAATATAATTTTTTATTCATCTCTTCCTTTAATATGTATCAAATTATATGCTCCTTATAGATCTATTTTTGTATATATCTTTGCTTAATTGAGTTGATCAAAAAGTCCTAAAATCAAAGATAAAAGATATCTATTCTTGATGGTGATTTTATTCAATCATCAATAGTCTACACACATCTATAGAGATCTATCTTTTTTCTTCACAAATAAGATAGGAACCTCAGTTGGAGATTTAAAATGGCATATGAAATTCTTAGCCAAGTTTTCATTAATATATTCCTTCAGTGCAGCCAACTCATTTTGTGATAGGCTATAGATTAATTTAAATAGTGGTTGAATTCTTTCGTGAAGATTAATGGAACAATCATAAAGATGATGCTTTGAAAGAACATTTGTATTTTTTTTTATAAAATATTCTAAAAATATTTATATTAGCCAAGAATACTACTTGACATCTTTCCACCATCAGAATTGGGCTTTGTATGTATAGCAAAAGATAACCTTTCTTCTGTAGCATGTGTAAAAGCTCTCGCATCTACTAATAAAGGTGTAAATATATTAGACTTATATATTTCTACTTGACTAATAAGATTTTGAATTAAACTATCAAAAAAATTAAAGTTACAAGAAATCTAATCTATTTAAAGAATATACTTTTTTAACTAAGATAATCATAAAATAATTAGATTTGATCGAGATGTTATTATATTAAATATTATTATGTTATTATAATCTTTCATTGCTACATTTAAAGAAATATTTTCATATATAACATCTCCAAAAGTTAATAAACAACCATCTATAATTTCTACATGTACAAGTTTAATTTTCTTGACTAATGATATCTCTTATTTTTTGATAAAATCTTTATCTATAAAAAAACCTAAAGCTCTTGAATCTAACAAAGCTAAGACTTTGTGATTTTTTGGTCTTTAATAAACTTCTATTGTAAAACAAAGTGAAAGGTGTGAAGAGAGAATATAACCTTTATTAGTAGTTATGCAAGATTTCAGTTGCATGGTCTCTATTGTAGTTGGAAAAATCTATTTTCTAATACATTGTATTCTTTGGCAACCATGCTTTTCATTTTGTGATTGCAATGTTTCTTTGAATAATGTTAAGCAGTATATTTGGTTTCTCCACAATATAAGCATAAGCCTTCTTGATGTTGTCAAGTCTTTTTTTATTCTATGAGAGATTTAAAATGTACCATATTAATTTACATTAATTCTGGCTTTGATAAATAAGTTTCTAAAAACTTAGGAGTTGCAGTCATTATTTGATTTGTTCCTCTTCAACCAAGTCTTTATTCTTGATGTCTTTCAAATAATCAATTATCGCATATAATAGCTTGAGTAATAAATTGATGGAAAGATTTTGCCTTTGACATTGCCAATAACAAATCTTTGACATTATCCTTCAATCCATGTCGAAATTGATTGATAAGGCCTTTGATATTCTAGTCTACAACGCAAGTAAGGTTTTAGAATTTTGTAACATATATGGTGGCTGACCATGATCCTTGTCGTAAAGATAAGGACTTGGTTTCTACTAATCTTTCTAGATCACTTTTTCTAAATGTGGCCTTAAATACTTCTAGGAATGAATTAAAATTATGAAGGAATTGTGAATTCTTTTCTATTAAAGGTACAAACCAAAAAAAAACACTTCTTCATAAAAGTATTCCTATAAATCTAACTTGAGTAAATCCATCAAGGTATTAGAAGGGATGTAACCTTAGATAGAGCTTGATGTTGTCGTAATGTGTGAAGTCTTGCTTAAGAATGCTCCGGGCACCTGGCTGTAGAAGAAAGAATAGAAATTGTGATAACAAAATCCTAAATAGAATACTAACAATGCTCTAATTAGACTATAATAATGGTAAACAAACGTAATCAAATTCAAAATAACTCAAAGAAATTTCAAACAAACAATAAAATTCTTAAAGAAATATTAGAATGATCACAAATTTTACTCAAATATATGTCAATTCAACCTTAATTTAATTCTAGTTAAAACCCTATTGAATTTCACTAAACTTTAGACCAAACCTAATTAAATCTTAAACCCTAATAATTCCTAAATCCTAAGTCAAATCCTTAAAAAATCTTAAATTAAACCCTATTCCAAACCCTAAACCCTAAACCAAACTCTAAATCAAATCCTAAACCAAACCCTAATCCAACCCTAAACCCTAAACCAAACCTTAAATCAAATTCTAATCAAATCCTAATCCAAACCCAAAATAAAATCATAACCAAATCTTAAATCCTAATCCAAACCCTAATCCAAATCCTAATCCAATCCTAAACTTTAATCCAAATCCTAAACCCTAAACCAAACCTTAAATCAAACCTTAACCAAACTCTAATCCAAACCCTAAATCAAACCCTAACCAAATCCTAAACCCTAATCCAAATCCTAATCCAAATCTTAATCCAAATCCTAATCCAATCCTAAACTCTAATCCAAATTCTAATCCAAACCCTAATCCAAATCCTAAACCGAACCCTAGCCAAACCCTAATCCAAATCCTAGTAATTCCTATGACAGATTTAAACCTCAATATCTAATGAATAAACCGTTGATCTCAATTCAAAACTTGCACACTTCTTAAAAATCAAGTTCAAAACAAGTAAAAAAAATTTGAAAATGATCGCAGTTATCAAATTGACGAAATCCTCAAAAATGTGTTCGGGTGTTAGCCGGCCTCCTTCTCCAATCTTATTGCCAACCTTCCAGAGCCAATTTCTCTTCTTTGCGCCGTTCGATTGGTTTCAAATTTCTCATGGACATAGGAAAATAAGTCTAATATCCTCTCACATAAGTTTTACTCCAATCCAACTAGTAGATTGCATGAAATCTTAAAAACCCTCACTGGACCTAAAATTCTACTTTCTGAGACCTTGACTCATTTAAACCTCAATATCTCTCAGTTCAACTGTTAGATCAATCTCAAATTCACAACATGTATTCAACACAACTATAACCATGAACCCAAAAAAATTCACCTATAGATCTGAAACAAAACTCTCGAAATCACTCAAAACATAAACCCTATTTTATTTCATAAAACCCAAGTCATCCAAAAAAAAACTCAACTTTGCAAAGCTCTTACAAATTCATATCAACTCCAAATCACCCAAAATCAATGCCTATAGAAACCCTATCCAACCTTCTCTCCAACTCCACTCTCTTATCTGCCAAAGAGTCCTAGAGTCGTCGTCGAGACTCGGTTTTGTGTCTCAGGGTCTGATTTTGACCCTGGTTCATAACCGGCCCTCTTTGGGTATCAATATCTAATTTTTCTAAGTAACTTTTTTCTAGATTTACTCTTAACTTTCTTCTAAAGATTCCTATATCATTTATTTTCCCAATATACTTTGATTTGCCTTACTTATGGTACTACAAAGTAAGTAGAAGTTACCTTTCTAAAAGACAGCATTGATACCTTTTAATTTTTCTACCCCTTTGGCTATTAACTATATTTCTAAGATAATTTGTTCTAATACTTTGAACTAAGATCTCTTAAATTATAATAATCTCCACACTCTTTCACCTATTAATCGTGTTACATCACGACAACGTGTTCTAAAAATCCTCAAAATTTTGATCTTATTCCATCAAACTTCTTAAGCATACTAATCCTTGTCCTTGTCATATACATAGAAGCAAAATTCCTTGGATTTGGTTGTGATGTTGATTTACTTGCTTTCTTCAACTACACAACTTCTTATTGCAGATTCTGAACTTCTTCCATAGGCGTAGGAATAGTATTTCTATAATTCATGTTAAAAATACATGGAAGTTCTATTCTTAGAGTTTTGATAAGTTCATAAAGATCTGCAAAAGTTATAAATCTATTTTTATTTTTGCTAAGAGTAGCATCCATAATCTTTCTTATAAATAATTTAGACAAATTTAAAAAATTAAATTAGAAGAAGATAATCCACAATCTCTAATATCAAATAAAAATTTCCAAAAAGAAAGATAATCCACTCTCTTTTAGGAAAAGATCAATATTAATAAATAAAATTATTTATTTAAAGATGGGTAATGTACAATCTTTAAAAATACAACAATAGAGGAGAAAAATCTACTCATTTCTAAAATAAGATAAAAATAATAAGTTAGCACTCTTATCAAACTATTAAGGATGTAAATCTTAAAGAAAGAAATTTTCAATATACACTTGTATCATTGAAAAGAATTAGAATGTCACTTCAAAGATGATATAATATTGAATTAGAATGGCTATTATCAAAAACAAGAAGACTAAAAAGTCTTAAAACAAGATTAAGGACTAGAAAAGCATTGACAAGAATGAAGGAATCCTCAATATACTCTTGCCTCTATACATATTCTTAACTAAGAAGTACATGATAATGTCTTACAGGACCTTCAAAAGGTGTTGACTGTGCAAGACAAGTATTTTAACTTGCAAGTCAAATTTTTTACATGTATGCCACATAATTAACTTATTTCGCAAGCTATTAATATATGATTAATTTGTTAACCAAACTTCTAACCTACCAACCAACTACAAACACATATAAAATCAAAACAACATTTATAAAACTTTTTTAAAAGATATTATAAAATTAATTTATTTTTATCTACTAATATATATATATATATATATATATTTGTGACAGATGTTGATTCAAAAGTACATATAATATGCATCATCTAATATAAACGTTAAAAAAATGAATTTAAATATTTGATTAAAAATACAAGAACTTAAAACAATTATATAATTTGTTGAAAACAAATACAAAAGCATGCCTTTGTTGCATAACATACCTAATTAATCTCTCCATATTAATGAGTTCTTTAAAAAATTCAACAATTTGTACACAAAAATTGAAAACACAAGACTTATATTATACAAAAATAAACTAAAGGCCTTTGATTTGATTTATGATACTATATACATTTCCATTTCTACCATATACTAAGCATGGTTTAAGACTTCAACCTTAATCATGGTTAAAACTTCAGCTTTGTTGCAGATAATAATCAACAATCAACAAAATAACTCCCACTATTGTCATGACCAAGATATGTGCAACTAAATATGTACAAAATATGTGCAACTAAACCAGCTTAGCCATTTTTATATTACAATCATTGACAAAGATATCCTATTATGACTCATGGAAGATGTGAAATTCATACTTAGAATGTGATGGGAGCTGGCGGATGGAAACAATGTTTATAGCTTCAAGAGGTTAACCACTTATGTTGCAAAGATGTAAGAGGCACACAATAATGCTACTGGATCTAAATCTGTGAACGGTTTTCATTTCATCAAGCAGCTTGTTCATGTCAAACAAACAAATTCAGGTTTCTGTACTACACAAGACGGGTTACTTACCATCTGCGTAGTTCATGTGGAATGGTGTGTCCATTGTGTTGCACAAATGAGATTTTCCTGCACAGTTTTCTGACAAAAGAGACATAGATTACGCTCCTGATTGACATTTGCCGCTCTTGCTCGTCAATCCTAGTGTCCGTGAACCGCAAGTGCTTTTCCTTGTTAGAGGCTGATGTGCTCACGGCGTGTGTCTGTTAAAATAACATGTCCATTATCAGCGTCTTTCCATGATACAAGTGTCCTGTCGATGCCACATTCCTGATCAACGTAGGATTAGCCATCAACCCTAATAAAAGATCCGTCGACACATACCTCTACACCTCCTTCGCTACCACCTCAAATTTCTTCAGGTTTCTAGGTTTGATGATGGGCTCTTCGGAAGGATTATAAAGAAGTAACAAACGTCTACACACCCTCGCCATACACTTCCATGGCAGTGGGAATAATACTTCTTTTCCTCCGCCAGCACAATCACCCCCCCCCCCCTCGCCGGGCATCCATGACATCGTCCTCATCGTCATCAAACCCGTCCTCTAGAGACTCATCACGTCTCCCTTCTTCCTCTTCCTCCTGCTCAGAGTTCTCCTCGTTCGTGTCTACCTCCGGCCCACCGTAGTTTACAAACTGTCATCCATACTTCCCCTTTTCTCCTTCAGACCTGTAATCAACGCAGAATCGGCACCTCCTAAACTTTCTCCCCAATTTTCGTATGAGTACACTCGAACACATGCATTAAATTCTCAAAAATATCGATACTACGTCTGCCGATGATCGAAGAAACCTGTAAAGAAGCACACCACACTTCCCAGAACGGGTAAGGTTAGAGTTGGCAAGCCCAAGCTCTTTACAAAAAAGCGGGAAGGCCAGACACAACATCGGTTGCAACATCGGACGCAACACTGTCCACACTGCTGACCAACCAAGCACTAATTTTACATCCATCCACAAAGCCGCCGGCGTGTGCTGTGTTGGACTAACGCTGCCCTTAACTCTAATATAACTTCAGTTAGTTACAAACTCTGTTGTCCGAATCCTGTTGCTTCTTTGCCAAGCCCGATTGCACTTGGCAAGCTTGTGGGTACTTGGGAGACTTCAAACTGTATCCCCTGTGTATTTTGACGTTGTGTGTCTCTTGGCTTATGTGGATGCACTCGTGAGTATGCGCCGTCTTTCCATTTGCGTGATAGGTTGATAGGTTTTTCTTAGTTTTCAGAACAGTTTGTCGGTGTTTATGCACCTGCTAGGTTTAGCGAGTTTGCATGTGGTGCCCGTTTTGGATGGAGTAACTTTCGATTGCTGTTTGCTGTGGGCGAATTACGCTTTTGTTTGTGGAAACTTGACGTCTTACTTGGATCTTGCCGGCAACGTGGTATTGAGGTCTTTTGTTCAGGCAGCGACTTGAGTTTCTCTGCTCTGGAATTTTCGCTAAAATTAATATGCGTGCATTCAGATTTTGTTGCTCGTATTGAAACGGAAGGAGGTGGGTCTGTCGCGGCAAGGCAAGGAAGGTAGCAACCATGACTAGCATTGGAACAGGGGTAGGTTTTGCAATCCCTACTTTAGTTCGACTCATTCGTGCGTCCCGTCGCAGCGATGTTTGGATATGAGTGTGCGGGAATTTTGGATACCATCATACAATCAGCTTCGATGTATTCTCCTCGGTTGATTATTGAGTCCTGTTTCGTCGTAAAAGGTCATTCGATTTGTTTGTGGGTTTCCAAATGTTGGGAGGAAGAAAACCTGAGAAAAGTAGGGTTTGAGGATGGCAGTACGATTTGTCGGTTACTACTTTCTCTCCGGATGGGCGAGTATTCCAAGTCGAGTACGCCTCCAAGGCGGTGGACAACAGCGGGTATGTCCTTCGAAACTATCCTCTGAGGAAATCAAATTTTCTTTCTCTCCTTTATGGTCTTCTTCAACTCCTTGATCTTGCTCAAATTAGGGTTTTGGCAGTGTGAAAAAGTGTTTTGAGCTGTGACTGTAGTGCCACATGTGAAATATTAATCGCGGTAGCTTGCGGCATATTCTTAGATCGAGTCTTTCAGCTTGTACATCGAATTGCTCTTTCGTCTCAACATCTGCAGTAGCTGGTTTTCAATACAGCATTCATCTCCTCTGCAAAGTTCGACTCAGATTTACTGATTACGTGTACCACATTTCTATCTATAGATTTAGGATTGGCAGGGGCGAGGATTAGGTTGTACTCTTATACTCCAGTACATCTCTTACAACAAGATAGTTCAAATTCACAGCATGTTTGAAGGGCTTTAAAAGGTGGAACATGAGTGAATTCTGAGTCTAGAATGTTGTAAATTAAGATCAAGTATTGTCTTTCTGGATGTGCAGGACTGTGGTTGGCATCAAGTGTAAGGATGGTGTTGTCCTGGTACTATATGCTTATAACTTAATTATTGACCTTGTTTTTGGTTGTGAGATTATTAATTCCTCTCATGCTAAAACATGTTTCATTTTTTTTCAACACATTTAGTTCGAGTATGTTAATTGTGAAACCCGTTTCCATGTGAACATTCCTGTCACTGAGATCAATATGCGGATTTTCTCGTCACAGGGAGTAGAGAAGCTTATTTCCTCCAAAATGTTGTTGGAGGGCTCCAATAGGAGAATTCATGCTGTGGATCGACATGCTGGCATGGTAAGTTCGTTAAGTTACAATACTCATTTGCAAATAGGTAGTCTTTAATTCAATATCTACACTCGTTCAGTCCCAAGTTATGTGCCAAGATAGCTCCTGCGTAGGTGCTCTTGGACACGCACAGAGTTGGACCTTTTCTTTTATAGGGCGACGATGAAAATCCTGTCTATTACTCCCACCTGTGCATTTTGAGTTTCTGAAGATCTAAAGTTATACATCTGGTCTTCTGCACACTTGCAGGCAATGGCAGGTTTAGCATCTGATGGAAGACAGATAGTAACTAAAGCTCGCAGTGAAGCCTCAAGTTACCGAAGGTATTGTTGATGTTCATACCCTCGCTTCATCTAGATCTTTCACACAATGATCTAAATGGATGCGAAGTGCTTTCTAACCTCCCTGTCATGAATCTCTTGTCACAGCTTTTATGGTGAGGAGGTTCCTATCGGAGAACTTTGTGAACGTGTTGCACATTATGTTCATCTGTGCACGCTCTACTGGTGGCTGAGGTACCTTTTATGACACGGTTAATAATGTACTAATTTAGCGACGTATTTACATAAGTTATACACGTTCACACCGTTTCTGTTTAATCTCTGCAAGCTCAGCAGTATACGCACACCATGACTTTTGAACTTTTGCAGTAGTCGTGCTAAATATGTTTTTTTCTTTTTTCTTTTTTCTTTTTTCTTTTTTTTTCTTGTTCAGACCTTTTGGTTCTTCAGCTATCCTTGGAGGTTACGATCGTGATGGTCCTCAACTTTACATGATTGAGCCTTCGGGTGTTGCCTATGTAAGTTATTGTTTTCCTCCACCCCCAACGTGACATTCTTTTCCTGTTCCTTCAGAGGGGAATTGCTTGTTTGTTGATCTGGTATTTACGGTACGTTACATTGTTGTGGATGTAGCGCTATTTCGGAGCTGCGGTTGGAAAGGGTCGTCAAGCCGCAAAGACGTATGCATCTCTCTGAGTAGTTCAGCTTTATTATCGTGTCAGTTGTGTTTTGAATACTCAAGTTGTTGAAAAATATCTTAAGACTTAATTTCATGAAATCGTCATTGTCTTCGTGGTGGTCGTCACAATTGTAGTTTTCTAATAATTTTAGTAACCGTAGCAATGGGACCGGGTGTTTTGCAGTGAAATCGAAAAGCTTAATTTGTCAGAGATGACCTGCAGGCAAGGAGTGATTGCAATTGCGAAGATGTAAGCCAAACACTTGTACTTAAACACTTAAGTTTCTGGAAACCAGGTTCTGAGTTGCATGTGATGCGACTTATAACCTTTATAATGAGGCTCTTGAAGCCAACCTTAGATTTAGTTTTGCTTATGAGATCCTGTTGTGCTTTTGTCACTTTGTTATTTATGTTTGTTACCAATGGTTGTATTTTTTATGCATTTGGAACATTTCAGTATTTATGGTGTGCATGATGAGGCCAAGGACAAGGCCTTTGAGCTGGAGATGAGCTGGATTTGTGACGAGTCAAACCGTGAGCATCAACGAGTAAATATTCCATCCTACATTTTCCCCTTCTCTGGTCTCTTGTGTTACCTATTCAGCAATATTAACTAGCTTGTACGTCTCCTACTTTGTAACTGCCCGAAGTAACCACTTCATCATCATTTCACACTCCTCTTACGTAGGATTAGGGCCCAGAACATGTGAGCATAACTCAGAGATATGGTATGACTTTCATAGATATTGATGTAAGTTGTCTGAATGCCAAAGCAGGTTCCGGCGGATTTATTGGCTGAAGCCAAGACTGCCGCAAAGGAAGCACAGGAAGAAGATATGGATGCTGATTAATAAACCAACTCTGTGAACTAGCTGGAATTTGCTTGAGACGTCCTTGTAGAGTCAAGTTTTGTTCATTCAAGAATGTGCTTTACATTTGATAATTGACTCAATTGCTGATATGTTCCGTTTATCAGACCCTAATGATTGATATTCGTGCTTGTATGTTTCCCTGCACATGGTTCTTGATCCAGCTCATCCGTTATAGACGGGGTCATATATGCACGGCTTTTCATGCTTGGTTTTACATTTTGCATGTTCCACCTGGTCGTCTGGGTACTCAAGTATTTTCTGTTATTGTGGATAAACTTGCAAAACGTTTCTGTAATGGAGTTTACACGCTTCAGAAATGCTTTCAAGCAGTCAGAAATACGCTGCATGAGAGCTGTCTTCGTGCAATTTAAGGATAAAATCTCTTACAAGCCTGTAAAGATAGTCTTTTAGAGTTGAAAATGTATGGTAGATAATGGGTGAAGCGTGTGTGGATGAATAAAATGAATGTGCGATTTATTAGTAGGCGTTACAGCCTGTGGTTGGGTCATGGGACTGGAGGTGAAGAAACTCTAATGGTCACATCCTCAACTGGTGAATCAGTTAGCATGTAATTTATTTTTGCAAAATTGGTGGTGAAAAACTGGTGGATGGAGGAAGGAGAATTTGTGAAATGGCCAAGCAATGGTCCAAGTGCCAAATCATTCTACAACATGCCCCTTTTTCTGTGTTTTTTTTTTTTTTTATGTCCCAGTATTTCACTGATCTTCCTTGCATCTTGCATTAAACAATTCTTTTCACACATGCAATGTGAAACGACATTCTGGCTTTCACCAAGTTTGTTTCACTGATCTAGGCATACACTAAGTTGCCCTCTGATAAGCATTGAAGGTTTGTGTAGTGTGTGGGTGGTTTGCACCACATTAGTTGTGGTTGGCAACTTGTAACCCAAATCAGTCGGTGATGTTATCAAACAATTGCAGTGGCAAGTGAAACCATCATGTTGGTTAACTAGATAAATATATTTAAGTTTTTTATACCTTAAAAAAATGTTTAACCGTGAAGGAGATTATAATTAAAAAACTAAACTAAATCAAGTCCTCATTTTAGGCTATAAAGTTGTAACATAATTTTTTTTTATAAATAGAGGTTATCTCCAAGCATACAGTTTTCCATATTCCTTCTACAATTGAATGATGAGTTCATTTATAATTTTTTTGTTTGAACTTTTTGTCCCAGTGATTTGCATTTATTGTTAATGTGTTTTCACCAAAATGTTAAATTTATAAATCTATAATTGTTTGAGACCATAGATGTAACTGACTTTAAAATATAATTAATTACTTTAAGAAATTTTTTCCTTCATTTTTAGGACGTGCAAACCAAAAAGTACTACCGTACTATATGTATACATTTTGTATCATTCATTCTTGTATAAATAACAAAACTATTTCAACCTTTCTTTTTTTCATATTTTTTTCTTGTGTTTATTTATAACTAAAACTTCGATTTTTTTTTAAAAAACAAGAAAATAAAAATCATCTTATTTCATATAAATTTTACAACTTTCTATTCTATTCAATAAAAAATCTTTTCAAAGTCAATTTAAATATTTTCATCTAATCAAATTACAATAGTTACTATAGTATATGCACTGAGTTTTTTGTATCATCAAAACAAAGATTTTTCATTGTTTATTTTTCTTGATTGATATGGATATGGATATATGTGTACACATATAAATTGAAAACCTTGATAATTCTTGATAAGATATACATACATTTCACGAAGGTCTATACAATTTGTCATCTTAAAAGTGTAATTCTTTTATGATCTTACAGTTTTGAATAAATTTTACAAGAACCAACATACATATACAAAACATCGATTTTTCGATTTCGTAGACTATTGAGAATTATAAAGATATTAATTAATTAATTAATTTTTATCATATCCTCAAATCTTGCAACATTTATAACAGTATATAAACCCGCTGATGGGTTTGAGAGAACAAATAAATACATACGGTTACCCGTATTCCTACACACCTAAACAAGCAGCGTGACTGGTCAGGATCTCCTGAGGGATGAGGTGGCAGGGCGGGAAACAGAAAAAGCCACGCTGGACAAAGACAGCCACGTCAGCGAACCCCAAGTCAGTTCCCTCCTTGCCTTTGCCGTCATATGGAAACATTCACAAGGGAATGGAACGGGCCGGGCCGGGCCGGGACAAGAGGATGCGCACCCCGGTCCTCCTCATTTCGGGCGCCGAGAGTAGGGAGCTTGTTTATGAACAGACGAGAGTTGTTGTGAATGCGATGCACAGCAGCCCAGTCAGTTCGGCGTCGAATTCTACCGTGAAGCTGTTTCAAATAAGTAAAACGTCGCATCGTCGCCGCAGGCCAGAGGATGCGAAGAAAGAATTGAGCAATGGCGACATTACGGGTGGAAATCCGGGGGGAGGAGTGGCAGGGATGGCGATTTCAGTGATGGTGCATTCTGATTGACAAGCTTAAAAAACGATGATACACAGGTGCGGTTGAACTCGATCCGGCACATATCCACGATCGCGCTTGCGCTCAGCGAGGATCGTACGCGGCAGGAGCTTATCTCGTTTTTGTAGTGAGATCAATGATGACGACGACGAAGTTTTGTTGGCCATGGCCTGTGAGCCTGCGGCCTTCATCGGGCTCGTGGCCGAGATTGTTTTCGCGTACGTCCTGCTACCGCCGCTTGAAAGCCTTTGCATCATTGTGGAGACAGTTGTGCAGGACAAGGTCGTGGCCAGCTTGTGTAAGATTGGAGTGCAAATGAAGGAGCGCGACGTTGTTGAATGGTTCATCCCTTTTGTTACGGTCGACATCATCGGTCTCTCTGTGTCGTGTCTCCCTATGTTTTTGCGAGAATTTTAATTGTAGGAGCGTGTAGGCTCCGCTTGGAACGCTTGGAGGAGAAAAAATTAATACCTGCGTTTGATTTCTGATGAAAGTTCTAGGATCTTGTCATTCTGTTGGAGGAATCATATCTTAGAAGGCATTTCAATGTTTCCTGCTTTGATAGTGTGTTTCTGTCATGATATTGTCGATGAACTTTCCATCTCATCATGTAGCTGGTGAAATGTTTCGCAACCAGCGAGATCGATTCGGTTGAGGACTGGTTGCTGCAAGCGGGAAATTTATGGCATTTGTCGTTTTTTCTGGAGTGTTTTTAAATCGAAATTAAATTTGTTTTCTTTTCCTGCTTTTGTTTGACTTTTCATGTGAAAGACAACAGAGACTTGGTGCTGGTGAATGGTTCACCGTAAGAGTGTCGGCCTGTGGTATTTTCCATATTGTCTATTCTAGTGCCCCGGATCTTCTTCGGGCTGAGCTGCGCTTGATTTTCAATCAGCTGTCAGAATGACATGCCCACTCTGCGACTGTCAGCTTTGTTGAATATGGTAAAGTGTGGGGCCACTTGTTGAAGCCATGTACTTGGAGTTTGATATTATGACATTTAGAGATCTCACGCAATATGGTGCATATGCATTTTCGAGAGGATCTCGTTCCCTTCATAGAAGCTAGCCCGGTGCTGAACATCGAGAATGACGAGTGGTTACGGTAGGGAATCAATCAGCTATGCGTTCATAATTGTATTCAGTTCACTTGTTAGGTGAGGACAGATTGCTGTTGAATACAGCAGGAAAGCTATTAATGTAGAGAAATCTTGGTTGTAGATCATGACTCAGTGAGACACTTAGTAGTGGAGAATTGTGCTGCATCAGGCAAACTTCTGGAACCGATTGATTGTGTTGGAAATGTTTTCCCCGTCATAGTGAGCTTTTTACAGGTAGGTTATTTTTTCTGCCAATTATCTGCTATTATCATTTTCTTTTCTGTGCATTACTTTCAAATTGCTTGCCCAGTCTGGAGTTGGGAAATACGTAATGTAGTTGCACACGGATTACAAGCTTTGTTTCGGTTCTGTTGATATATATATATATATAGAGAGAGAGAGAGAGAGAGAGAGAGAGAGAGAGAGATAGCTAGATAGATCGATACACACACATCGCGAATGATATATCAGTAGTTGTCAACTGGTCCGTCTCAACATTTACGAGCTGTAATTGTATCGGTTATTGAGGGAGTGGCTCCTTAATTAGGAAAGGTCAGATAATTTTCCTTGGTATTTCTTATTTAGCCTGGCTGTTTCAATTTGCTCGTATATGAACTCTCTTATTAATATTCACGTTTTTCAAAGTAACACTTCTTTGGAAATGTTACGCACTGATAGCTTTTTTCTGTTCTAATTAACTTGACCATTCAACTGCCGATACTCTGTTCCCTTTGCTTCTCATTTTTCTAACTCTCCTGAAGGATGAGTTATTGGATGAGCGACTCAATAGGATTGGCAAACTAGACGAAGTCAAGTAAGGGATTGATTCCATCAGCTAAGGACATGATGACACATATCCAGATTCTTTCGTTCTGTTTGGCTGGTTGACTATGTCTTTCTGAATTTTATCACCTTTCTTTGTTTTCCTGAGTGTGGTTCTCTATTCCGACACTGAAGGTCGCTGACAACTGGGAAGAGCAGTAGAAGTCTAAAGTATGGGCTTTTCGTTCGCAGGTAATTGGCATTGACTTGCTGTCTGAGTCACTTCTGCCAGACATTGTTGAACTAGCAGAGGACCGTCGTTGGTGCGTCCTTCTAGCCATAATTGAGGATGTATCCTTATTGGCCAGTCCATTAGGCGCTGGCGAAAAATTGGGAGCTATTTGCATGCAGTGGCTTGAAGATCAGGTTGAGACATTAACATTTAATCAAGTTTTTACAGCATTGCTGTATGGAATATGTTTCTTTCGAAGTAATAGGATCCTGCAGCTTTACCTTGGCAAATATATTGGTGACTTTTGTAGGCAACGTTGTCTACCAGCTTATAAGATCACATGTATGTGTCGTTGAAACTATTTTATTCATCCTCAATAACAATTAATTTGCACAGGTTTACTCTATTCGGAAGGCAGCCGCCAAACCTTGGTCTCCTTGCAGAAGAGTTTGATCCCGAATGGACACTAAAACACATTGTTCCGCAGGTATCTATGTACCTGGTTTGCGTGAGGTTTGATCTTGTATCTAGCGTGGGAATCCAGTTGTAGCCTCGTGAACTTGCAAGATTTCAAACTGTGGACGGAAAGTTGGTTGTATTTGACTTTCGAACATGAAGGTGTGAATGGGTTGTGACGACCTGGTGGGTGCTACACGTAATGGATAAGTATAGCAACCTTCATTATTTGTATGGTATGACTGCTTGTCAGACCATGTTGCCACTCGCCAGACCATGTTGCCTGTGGTCATCAACGCTTCGAAAGACAAGTGCATTTGTCTGTTCTCTTTGTAATTAAAATGCCCAAGTACTTGTCTAATGGTGTTTGGGTTTTATGAAAGACCATGAGTTTTTAGCTTACGATTTTCTGAAATGGGATGGCAGAGTTCCAAATATCGAATTGAATGTCGCCAAAATTCTTCAATCAATGATTCCTGTTATGGATTACCCAGTAGGCTCAAGTCCTTCTCCTTTGTATTTCCTTGGATGGTTTGCATAACTGCAACTTCTCAGCAAGCAATGTAGGTCGAGATTAGCTTTCTGCATCATTCCGTTTGGTGAGTGGCTGCATCTTTGTTGTTTCCAGCAAGCACGGGACAGTGATGGGTGGTGATCGTTACATAGTAAGGTTTCCCGCACTGGACTTCATGTGAAACTTACCTGATCTTGAGTGCTGATTTTGCTTCTCAAGGGATCCACACCAGTTGATGGATTGAGTCATTGTAAAACCAGGTAACCACCAATCAACTAAAACAATTCACAAGCGGATGTAACTGTTCCAAGTCTGTTCCACACCTATATCTACTGTTGTGTGGATACTCTCTACAAGAGGAGGCTAGTGAATGAAGTCTGACCTCGTAAGTTGAGGCTTTTGAGGATAAGATTTTGACCAGCTACATCTCCCCGGGTGATATTGTAGATCACTGATTGGGTCGCCCCGCTCGTATTATTCTGGCTGAATCTGTCAGTATACCATTCTTTGCACTGCATTCCCTTCTTGATTGTCCGTCAGTGGAGAAGTCTTCAGTACTTGCACAGAACATTGGTCATGACTTCCCTCGGAATTAACCTCTTCCGCTCTCAGTCTACATCCAACTCCTCCAGTACGCGTACGAGAAATGGGCTTCTTTGGTGTCAAGGAAATTTGTTATCGCCAGTCCTCTGGGGATGATCTCATGGGAGACGGTCACCGTTTCCAGGACCGGCTTGTAGAAAATTATATATACAATTATATAAATTAATGTCATGCAAGTAAGATGTTACTTGAGTTTCTTGATGCAAAAATGTATTTGACATAAAATATCTATTCTGGTACAATGTGTTTTTATTTGTTTGTAGCAAATAATGTGCAGTTGTCCGCTTATTACTACAAAAATTTGTAGAGATGTTACTTTTAACAAGCTAGGATCTTTTCAGCATTGAATGTGAATATCTATAATTTTTATGTTTGCAATTTCTCTATATACTATGAAAATTTGACAATTTTATTTCGATGCCAATCAATGATATTTCTCCCATCAGCTTTGTGGTGGTTTACAGGTCAAGGATTACATTTCTTTGTGCTGTAATCAAATCCCTGAAATTCAAACTAAGATTGCAAGTGAAATCAAGCTTAACCAACCACCAACTTTAAGTGATTTTATATACATTACTATTCAATATCAGCAAGAATATAGTAGTTTGACTCAAAACCAATTATGAAAATGGTTTCAAGAGTAAATATCTGCTTGTGTAATCCATATCAATAAACCAAAAAAAATACTACAAGTAAAACCTTCAATTATCTTTTTAGACGAGATTGTGTGCCATGTAGTTGAAAATATGTATGGGTTGCCTTCACCTGGAAGTTTTACTCAAATAACAATTTTTCTTGTTTGCTTACTAGCCTTCCTTCCAATTCTTTTCTGCACACATTTCTGAAAACATGTGAAACTCCTCATATAATCCTTAATGAATGTATGTTTCATTGTATGTATGTATGTATGTATGTATGTATACATGAATCATCCTTGAAATGTTTGTCTCAAACTACATGATTTTGGTAAACAATGCCATCTGCAAACAACAAGTCTTGGTGACATTTCCTCCCTAATATAGAAATCCACTATCAAATTAATGCAGGGATTCATGAGTTCCACATTCTGTCGGTATGTCGGTGTGTCGGTGGCTCGGTGCCCCCTCCGAGGTGGACGAACAGGTCATCGCCGAAGCGGCCATGGACAGGCAGACACGGGGGTTCGGCGGTGGAGGCCACCGACGCGATCGGGCGGAGTGACATGGCCGCGTCCAAAGCTACAACCCTTTGAGATCTGTCATACTCACCGACGCTTCAACCCCGTAGAATTGAACTTGCTTCTTTGCTGCAGAAGATTGCATCTGCAGGATGCAACACAGAAGTAGCGATTTCCTTCAGTAAGATCAGCAAATGATGCACGTCTCGACTGGGGGTCTTGAATCAGCCACAGAGATCCTCCTGTAAGTTTGCCGGAGGAAAGCGAAGTGGAGGACGATATCCCTTTCTTTGGTCCGATGCCGCGGAGCTCGTGCTGCATCGGCTCTGCTTAGATGCCCTTTCTGAAATTCTCAGCCCAGCTGCAGCAAATGACGCAAAACTGTGCTCGGACCCCCGCATGGCCTTGGCAGCGCATCATGATCGGCACCAATTTACGCTCATCGCAACTTCGCTCACCGGAGTGACAACACACGAGCGATCTTCTGACTTACCAATCCAAGCGGCTGGAATCTATGCTTGACTCCAGCACTAATCCATGTTATCGTCGAAGAAAAGAAGCGGTGCATTCAGCCATTGCTGACCAATGTCCTCAGCTGCTGTAACCCCTTCCAGATTTATCAGGATTGAGTCAGGAGTTTCAGGTTTCCCGATGAATACAAGCCCCTGGCAACAGAGGCCAAAAAGCTTGTGCGTAACACACGTTCTTAAATATCACACTTACCCACCACAGTTAAGTGTGGCATGCGATTCGTGGTGCAGCGTCCAAGTGGGTACCTGAATGAGTACAGAAGCAGCAGCCTGGTTAGGGATTCAAGGCTCCAAGTCTCGGAGCCTGTGGATCATATAAATTCATCCTGGTTTGCACCATCATTATACTCAGCTCCGCAAATTTTCCTGACATTTCGAGAATGAAAGCTCTGCGCAAGCAATCGTCAGCGGGGGCCAATGAAAGCTTGTCTGCAGATGTTGCATGCACACTCTGGTCAAAGATCACGTAGGTTTCAGAGGATCCCTGACGATGCATTTGCTCTGCTTTTATCTTGCCTACCAGTTGCAGGGCTTCCAAACCCTAAGAAGTGGATGACATCGCCGCATCACAACGCCGTGCGAGCTTCAGGTACTGCAATGTTACTCCGAATCCTGCGTCGAAACAGCCCACTTCTAGCAATATGAAGATACAACATTCAGATTCGACACACAGAATGCCATTGCTTCTTACTTCTGTTAGTTTCCGCCAAAACCCCACCGCAGTTATATCTACAATCACATCTTCTGAAACAAAGAGAAAATAATAAGGAAGAACACAAAATCGTGTTGGATCGTAATCATATTATTCATAATTGCATGTTTACAGTGATATGTTTGCCCTAATTTATTTTATTATTGTTCTAGTGTAATTTAGTGTTTTCTGTGAGCGCCAGTTTGAGTTGTGGTATCCCACCGAGATTTACACCCTAAGTTCACTCTCACGCCCACTTTCTGTCTGTCCTTGCAAAATGTAGTTCCACACATCTGTCTCTGTCTATCTATTTTTGCAAACAGACAAACAGACAGACCTAGCGAGACACACACACAAACAAAAGCAAGCAACAAAGCAGTCTGCGGCAAAGCAAATCAAGAGAAGAGTGAAAGAAAAGACAGGTGGAGAACAAAGTAGAAAGGAAGAATTGTTGCTGGTGTGGAGTTGACTGTTGTTATTTAATATAACTAGAGAGAGGAATATAAAATTTATTTACCTAAATCTTAAATCGATCCACCACATGGTTTACAAAAAAATATTGTTACATCTACCAAAAGAGTGTCCCACAAAAAACGAGGATGTCCAAAATTGTTTGCCTGAATTAATGCATAGGTTGGAATGAAATATATATATATATATATATATATATATATACATATATAAACATACACATATTTCTTTTGCGTTATAAAATTTTAATATTAAAATAGGAATATGATATTGTTGCTTTTTAATAAGTGAGGCCACAATTTTTAAAACAAGTTGACATAGAGTAGTTACAATTTGTATAATATTTGTGTATAATTTGTAGTGTATATATATATATATATATATATATATATAGACCTTGGTCTTAAATTAATATAACAAAAAATTATCATATTAATGACTATTTTAAGTAATTTTTAATATTTTAGAGTAAAATTTACCTAAAAAAGTAATTTATCTTCTTTAATTCAGATAAAACTAATATATATAAAATATTAATTTCATTGATTTTGTATAAAGTGATTTATGATTTCTTAATATATTTTAAAAAATGTATTAGAAGTATTAACTTTGATATTTTAAGAATTTTCAATTGATATGAATTTTATTTTAAGTGAAATTTCATATTTGAGATTTATAAAAGATGCTCTTATATAAAAAATTTAATAAATATTTTATCAATAAGTACAACATTTTACTGTATAGACATTATGTATATTTCATTCCAACAATTCACATTACAACCCCGTTGGATTATCAACAAATCTTAGAATCACTACACAAAGCATTTCAATCCTCCAACTCATAACTCAATTCCATTAACCCAACAATACTTGAAACAACAAACAATTACAATAAATTTAGTGCAGAAATCTAAAGAGTAAGCAAATTGGGTGGGTGGGGTGTGTGGCTGGGACCTGATTTTGACTTTCCCTCACGGCCTTAAAATGAGGCACACGTCTTGGGAATGGAGTCAAGCCCTTGTTCTATGAGAAACACCCACAATGATAAATTGCCATAAACTCAAGCTTCTTCATTTGACTTCATATGATGATGACGATGAGCTTGGTTGTGGAACTTATTGGCAGACCTAACAAATCGGTGGTGGTGGTGAACGGACGGACGGACGGAACAATGGACGGACGAACGCTCGCGCGCACTGACAGACGGACTCGTCCTTTCTCGTTCTGGGTCTGCACGTTGGAGGGGGTCTCGAGTGGGTACAATGGATGAGGATGTGGTTTTCTGTTCGCCCGCCGATTCGGTGGGTGGGGATAAGATGAGGTAGGTCGACCCCCCGCCACGACTTTGCTAAATCTGAGGATCCCGTTCACACTGCATCGTACGTCGGCTTACCGCGTAATGACGTGGAGCCTCTTCGTGATCCCATTGGTCCTCAACAGTGGACAGCCTCCTCCCCTTTCACACTGAAGACATTTCCAGATGTTTCCGGGAGGATTGCTGTGGCAGCTCATTTCAAGGGCGTTGCGGTGTTGTTGCATTGGGGGTGGGGCGGAGGATCGTGGGAGATTAAGGGCGTGGCAGCGTTGGCCGCGGCGGGAAGGGTATGCTCACCTCGTCTTGCTTGCAGTCTCATTAACTGCCTGTTTTTGTGATGGAGTTAGTAGGTTCACAGATCGGCTCGGGTGATGAATGAAGGCCTGAGGGAGAGTGGAGGAGCCTAGAGACGAAAAAGCTCCCGGTACAAGTGAACTTGATTGGTGTCGCGTACATTCGTCACGCCATCGCTCAATTCATAATTGAATGACTTGAAAGGTGCGCACCGTATCGACATTAGCAGTCTTCACATCAAGCTCAGTCTTACTGCAAAACCCTTTTTGACGCGTCAAGAGGAAGAAGAAGAAGAAGAAGAAGAAAAATACGGACAAAACATACAGCAGCGGGAATTATTTTCTCCATGGCTGCATCTAATGCCGCAACCTCGAGGATTATCTACCGCTTAGGCAACATAAACTCTTGATTCGCCTTACAAATATAGCGGGTATTTAAAGACGAAGGGCAAAAGAAGAGTCTGGGATGCTGTTTAAAACTGTGTCGAAGTGGGATTGTTGAGAGCAAGCGGAATCTCAAGTTGGGGTCTGACTTTTGAACTAGTGCGCTCTCGCCCACAGATGGGAAAGCGATGAATAGCATTAGTAGAACTATCGAATAAAAAACAGAATTTTACTGGTCCACTTGTCAGGGAAGTAGAATCATCCATTACCCAGGGGAAAACTGTAGGCAGGGCTCCTTAATCGGTGTCGGAGCAGGTGGAGATGAACTGCTGCAAATGAAATCATAAATAAATGTATGTCAGTGAGTTAACGAACGAACGAACGAACGAACGAATGAATGAATAAGGGGTATGAGAATTTGCATAGGAAGGAGGGGAGGCGGTCACCCTCTCCATGACAGTTTCCGGTTTGTTTGAACGTGTCATGGGAATTCCTCTTCTCAAATGTCTCTGGGACACTGCAGATGGCAGGAACTAGTGGAGCATTAACTCTTCCTCATAAGTAAATATCCACCTCATTCAATGCTGAATTGGGGCGACAGCCGGCTTGACCCAGAACGCAGGGCGCCAAAGGACCCGCCCCAGCTCGCCGACCTTGGCGGCCCTGCCCAGCTGCCCCCCTCCTCCACGTCAATTAACCGAGCCCATATATTCATGGTCAAGCGCCCCTCAATGCCTTCACTCTATCGGAGCTGGGCAGTGTAGCAATTTCTGTCTTCGTTTGCTGCACGAGTTTTACCACATCCAGCACTTCGGTGCCAGCCTTAGAGTTGACACAGTTGAATGCTGTGCGAGGACAAGATCGAATCAGTAGCCGAGTTTTGAAGAACGTTTCACATGCCGGTGTCGTGGTGATCCAGCTGGCTTTTGTGCGGCTGCAGCAGCATGATTGATTAGCGCCAGGCATCTTCGATTGGGGATCGTCGACACCCGTATCCATCCAATCCGATAGTTCAGGTTTCGCAATTGGCAGCTCCGTCGTCAAGAAAGGATTCACTTTGTGTTGGGCGTGATATTAAGTTTCTAGACCGGGAAACATTGGTCATTCTAGCTACGTCCACTGCATTATTGTAGAAGCTGCTCGCAGGCGATTGCTGCTTGGAGGTGCGTCAGCGAGTGGGTGTCCTCACCAACAAGTGGAGGGTGATTTTGTACGACTTAGAGTCTATTTTGACTTGAGCTGCGGGAAGTGGCGAAAGTAGAGGTTCGCATGCAAGGCAGTTTGAAGGTGATATCAGTTGGTGCCACGACTGTCGAACAAGCTGGAGGACTTTTCAGCAGTTCGATTTGTGGCAGAGCAATTCCAGACCTGGGCCTCTAGGTTCTGGAAGCCAGCTGCCACCATGGAAATGCAGCAACTCGACCCATTGACTAGTTTTCACTGCAGTGAAAGCTTCGAAGGAGTGGAGACCTGCAGAGTGGAAGGGCGTGCGAACCAGAGCATTGTTTCAGATTTGGACGGAACGCTTCTGCGGTCAAGAAGCTCTTTTCCCTACTTTATGTTGCTCGCTTTCGAAGCAGGGAGCCCACTCCGGTCTGTCGTTCTTCTGCTTATTTCTCCCGTAGTATGGCTTGTCTACAACTTCGTCTCCGAGGCAGCTGGGATTAAGATGCTCATTTTCGTCTCGCTGGCGGGACTCAAAGTGTCCGCCGTCGAGTCAGTGGCGCGGGGTGTTCTGCCCAAATTCTACTTGGAAGACATGCACTCCATCAGCTACCGAGTCTTCACCTCCTGCGGGAAGCGCTACGTCGTGACGGCGAATCCAAGGATCATAGTGGAGCCGTTTCTGAAAGAGTATCTTGACGTAGAAGCTGTAATGGGCACTGAACTACAAATCTCGAGCGGGGGATATGTCACCGGTTTTGTAACGGGCCCCGGTGTACTCGTTGGTGCTGTCAAAGAGCGAGCTGTGAAGAAATACTTTGGACCCGACCCTCCGGACGTCGGCCTAGGAGACAGGCAGAGCGACTTCTTATTCATGGATCTCTGCAAGGAATCTTACATTGTACACAGCGACAAGGATGTGCCCGCCGTGTCGAAGGAAGACTTCTTAAAACCTCTTATCTTCCACGACGGTAGACTGGTGTGCCGTCCTACGCCGCTGATGTCGCTTATCGTCATGCTATGGTGTCCTATTGGCTTTGTCCTTGCCGTTGTTCGGATGCTCATCGGCATTGCGTTGCCAATGTGGTGGGCGCTTCCTCTTGAGGCAATGCTCGGCGTCACCGTCCGTGTGAAAGGAATTCCCCCGACGTGCCCCCTCCGAAACAAGAAGCGGGGTGTGCTCTTCGTGTGCTCTCATCGCACTCTTCTTGACCCTATTTTCTTGTCCATTGCCGTTCGAAGGAAAGTCACTGCAGTAACATACAGCATCAGTCGGCTCTCCGAAGTGCTGTCCCCAATCCGCACTGTGCGCCTCACGAGGGACAGGAACACGGACGCCAACACCATGGCAAGTCTATTGGAGGAAGGTGACCTTGTGGTGTGCCCCGAGGGCACCACTTGCCGGGAGCCTTATCTGTTGCGGTTCAGTTCCTTGTTCGCTGAGCTGACGGATCAAATTGTCCCCGTGACGATGAATATCAAAATTACCATGTTTCATGGGACGAGCGCTCGAGGCTGGAAAGGCATGGACCCCTTCTTCTTCTTCATGAACCCTTGCCCTAAGTATGAGGTAACATTTCTGGACCAACTCCCGCATCAGCTGACATGCAATGGCGGAAAGACCAGCCACGAGGTGGCGAACTACATTCAGCGCGTGTTAGCGAACTCTCTTGGATTTCAGTGCACCAATCTCACGCGCAAGGACAAGTATACTGTATTGGCCGGGAACGATGGGATTGTGCCGGATCACACTCTGCGGCAGCGAGCTGGCAGAATGTTCGGCTTGTAGCGATTTTAGGGTTCGTTTGGAATGCTCCAGGGGGCGAGTCGCAGCGGCAGTTGGAGGGACTCAAGGCTGCAGAAGACCAATTTGTTTTCCTCGAATTGTGACGAGTTTGGAGAGAAAGATCCGGTCCCCCGCTATCACCCATTTCTGCTGGCTTGCATTGCATGCATCTGACCCGACCTGAATTGAGTTGAGTTTATGCGATTGATCGATTGATTGACAAGGGCTAGAAAACCATTGGTCCAATTTTACGAGTATAGGCATCGTTTTACAATTCGGAAGTTGAATCAGACAACTCCTTTCTAGCAATTGGAGCGTATTGCTAACTATACGAATAGATCAATATAGATGGAGGTTGCTCTACCCGCGGCGGTATCAGAACACTGACTGCTTTTTAGAGATTACTTGTAACTTCGGCTCATCACTGGATTAACCTTATTGCCGACTATACCCATACTGTAGGGCTCTAGCTAGTTCCGCTGCTGGGTTGCATTGAACGCAAGGACTTGTGGTTTGTATGATGTAATACATTTAACAATTCATCAGAGGATATTGACCATCTTCATTCACCGAAAGCTATGTCTGTGTCTTTCACTGAAAGCGTGATGAATTGGAGCCCGCCGGCGTTGCATTCACTGACCCCCACTTTGAGTTAATTGAGATTGGGTTTCTTGAATGACAATTCAAAGTAGTTTACATCAGCTCGCGACGGAATTCTTTTGAGATTTTTTTTCCTACTCTTTTCATTTTGAAAGGTCGTGTTTCGCGAGAAGCGTTGGCAAGTTAAGACCTTTCAAAAAGCTTCCAATCTGGTCCTCGATTTCTGCTCAGCAACAGCGTGTAGTATCCCTGCCGTGCCTTAACGCAACCATGTGGACTTGCAGTACCCCCTCCCTCCCGAAACTGAAGTTCCCAGTTTGAATGATAGTGTTCATTAAACATCCCGCAGTGGTTACACAGACCTTCTGTCAGCGGCAGGCTGCGGCTGGCACGCGCCTGCAAACTCAATCACTTTATTGCCACACTCTGAGCTCCCTGTTATCGGCATCGCTCTTACCACCGTTTCGGTTTCCAAGGCGCTTTCCCGGTCTCTTTCTTCACCTAGAGGCAAGGACTGTTGTTAGCTCCATGCCTGTATCTGCAGGTAGATGACACTTTATGGAGGCGTGTCAGAAACCTTCGATGCAACTACTTCTTAGTTGCTTTTAGCTCTCACACCACCTAATGCGAGGTCTGCAACTTCCATCGCAACGCTCGCGACAGGTCCGCTATTGAAACCCATCGTTCAACTCTGAATGCCGTGTTTCCCTGCTGTGAAGTAATCACCAATCGTAACTAACTTTGATGGAGGCCGGTTGGATGGCGTTTCGGAGGATTCCGTGATGCGTCACAAAGTGCATCCATGTGGGAGCTTTAGCTTGGCTCCGGACCCACATTTTCGCCGCAGCCCTATGTTCTGAAGACTGATTGAGCTCTGTTTTGATTGTCCACGCACAGGCTCCACTTGTGTCGTCACCCAATGCCATTTCTTGCAGGGTTTTCATGGGGCCTGAAAATGGGAGCTGTGCTTTATCGCTCTTACCCGACACCACCTTCCGGTCCCGCATTAATTCGGAACTCCTCTCTGTGTATCGACATTCATCGTCGGCTCTTCACATTTTCACTTACTCCCAAGAGAAACTCTCATTATTCAATGATGAATATCTCATAATGGTTTTAGTTAGTATTCGGTGGTTGTGATTGTAGATGAGTAGGTGGAAAATTTTGTAACGTAGTGGTGGCGGTACCGAAATTAGTCAGCAGTTTGTTCATTGTTCTGAACCTTGCTGTGCATTGGCGAAAAATATATGTGAAGAGATGATTCGAATGATCACGAAACTGTCGAATGATACAGGAACATCTTCATTCATTAATTTCAAAACAACACACTCGTGCCTGGAGAAGAAGAAGAAGGAGAAGTGAATCACAGGTAAAATATCTATCCACAACAACCAAGCATCAATGAATTTAACTATGGTTAATAACCTGGCAAAAATTGTGTTTCCTACAAGAGCAATGCACATCTTCCATTAAAAAAAGGCATTTGGATTCATAATTCACAGCATTTTACCGTTCCTCCTGTGTTACTTCGACAGCACTGATTTCTCTGAAAGTAGATTCAACCATTCTTCTGATCTATGCCGACGCATCGTGTTTCCACAAGCCGCGGCGCACGGAGAAATTTTCCATGTGCTGCTTTGGCCAGATCAGCAGGTTGGTGCCCATGAAAGCCCCGCAGCAACGGCGACTACTATCAGGAGCTTGTTTCGTGAGGCTGTGTGGCTGCTTTTCCCGTTCCCCAAGTCAACAATGAAGTGAGCCAATATTGCGGGGGCTTGCGAAACCAATGTGAGCGCTTTTCCGCAAGCTGGGCACATTATTAGTGCAGATCGTGACAATCAACATATTTTTCTATCTCCGTTGTCTGAGTGCAAGCTCGACAGTGGGTGCAAGCTACAACAAGCGTAATGACAGTTTTAAAAAATAGTTTTTCTTGTACTTGAGAATTCATGGTGATGGTTGTATACGTCAGTAATAAAAAACTAAAAGCGTACTTTTCTCAGCCGTGAACAGACAAGCACAAGGAGAAGAATAAATACCTCGTAAAACTGTACAATGGATATTAGTTGAGCGACTAAAGGAGTTTAAAGCACGATTCCGCTTCTCTTTACTGTTTGAAAGTTAGAACCAAGTAGTTCAAGACCTACCTCGAAGCTAAACGTCACTTAAATGTTTTTCTTTTTTCTTTTTTCTTTTTGTATTACTATCATTATTATTAAGGTTCAATAATCAACTGTTTGTTTTTCAGGTACTTCGACCTAGAACGAATCTACTGCTATTAGATCTACCAAATTCATATCAACTACGAAAACCCCATTGGGTTTCGATGCCTGATTGTAGTCACATCAGCCATGACCTTTGGCACAAAGTCTTATTTTTCTGCAAAACAATCAAGTTCTCATGCATTACTTTCGGTGCTCCCAACGTGTATATTTGGGGAGAATGTTCCACAGCAAATACTTCAATTGCGAAGGACAAGCATTACAAGCAGCCATCGTTAGCTGACCATGCAAAACACACGAGCCACCAACACCAGCAGTCCTATTCCTAGTCCGAAAACGCCACCAGGGTCTAATGCTGGGACTCCAAACTGCCATTGCAGGGTGGAGTTCCATGTTTCATTGGAAGTGATTCCTCCTCGAGTCGCCATCCGATCTGAAGTTCGTACTACAGTTCTTGCGTGCCAGGCAAAAGGGTGCTCGGTGTTATTTCACCCCCCCCCCCCCCACCAATATGCAGGTACCGAAGTCAAAATATCATCTAGTTGATAGCGTTGGTTTCTCACTAGTGATGGAAACTCCAAGGTAAAGCTCATCCACTCTTGTCCAGGTCGTCGTGTCGGGTAAGGTGAAGGTAGTGTCCACATTCCAGTCTACTCAGTTCCAAAAGAGTAAACAGTTCACAACTATTGCGGAAAACTTCAAAGTTTTGGTCACAAGTGGATCACACAAGTGGAGGAGATCATCGTACTGTGGTTGACGCATGATTTCATCTTCCTGTGCGAAGTGGCATTTGTTGATAGCGACCAGCCGCTCAATGCTGTCCTCAATTCGCAACCTTAAGTCATATGGAGATAGAATCCTTCGAAAAATATGACTGTTCTGAGGTGTATCATGTGGCAGCCGCCTCAACGTGGTTTGCGCCTTCCAGGTTGTGGACTTACAGTTCACACAGACAGCGATCCGCTGTGTGTTGATGGTCTTTGGATGAAGGGGAATCGAAAGTGGTTGTAGATGTCGAATACACATTGAAGTTGTTGGGTAGATGCGCAACGTGTAGGAGGTTACAATAAGTGGAGAGAACCATCAGCTTGATGAAACTCGGCTAGATGACTTGAAGGGCGTTGGAAATCCACACTAATTTTGAAGTAACATCAGAATAGGAATTCGGTTTAGGTGAGATAACAAGTGCTCACCACAACGTTGTCGACTGGATACAACTGTGTCAATACCACAATCGATCTTAGAGTGTGTCCTTCAGTCCCTGATGCTGCTACCACTACTGTTTAAACTGGGGTGATCCTGCAGTCAACTTCCACAAGCTGTCTTGGACAAAAACAACAAACGAGTTAACTTTGACTCAGGCACTAATTCTGCATTTTAAACTATGGTATTTATTCCTATCCTTGTACTCACTATGATGCAGATTAAAAACGTCGGTTTTCACTGGAAAATCTCAGAATCTAGATAAACTATGCCAGCTCCAACACCGTATTATGAAATTGTTTTACCATATTTGTGCGTAACCAACGTCATGAATCGAGACTCCACGATAGACTCCACATGATTCTGTACTCCCACCTATATACACACATCAAACTACCACATACAGCTTCAGGTGCACTAAGTATAAAACCGAAACTACTTGGGATATGTCACTAAAAACCAGCCCATCCTCCACAGTACCTTTCTTTCAATATCACCTGGCACCATGAAACGTGGAGTTCTTGGTAAACGACTTCTGACGTTACTTAATGGTTTACAGCACATGGTTCACCAGCAGATTGCTGAACGCATTCGCATAATGTTCGCGAACCTGCAAAAGTAATGGTTTACCGTGTGTTGGTTGTTCTGTTTACTCTGCACCCAAACTGTCATTGATGCGTTTAGGCTGCAGTTTGCCTTCAGAATATGACGTTACCCTTAAAAGTATCTTAAATTCTAAGCAAAGTTAAAACCACAGTATGTGTCAGTATATATTTACATACATAATAGTGATGGCTAAGATTGAATTGAAAAAAGGTGCACACTGTATTGGATCAATTTTTGATATTACATGACTTAGGAAACCACAGGAAAGGTCACCACCCGGAAAAGATTGAAATCATAAATTCAAGTTGAATAATTAATACCTTGACAATCTGACAAATTGCACATTTTGTACTACTGAATATAGATTTCACAGGCAAAGAACACTAAAGACGAAATCTAATCAAAATGATGGCGCCTCATTATCGAATGTTGTTGGAAAACATCACTGCTGCTTTGGCATAGCCAAGTGACATGGGCTCAGAGGACCTATCTCATAGAACACTGCAGCGAAAGGGTCCACAAACCATTTCGGTGAGGATGGGCGCTGTTTTCGAATGATGCCATGCTGTAACGCGACATGGAAACCGGGAAATTTTTCATAAACAATGGCTGTAGCGACTCCCTCTCAAAGGCATCTTGGACTTTGGATTCTGCAGGAACAAATCGTCTAAGATGTATACGATGTCTGCTGGGGGCGCCTATGATCCATTCTAAAGTGGAATTTCACATGATCTAAAAACCAAGACTCGAGGAATCTCCTCGAACTTTGCAAGTAGAAATTGCCAGATATCATGGAACACAAAATTAGATGAAACTTAAGACACAATAAGCACGCTGAAATGATCCTAGTTTCACTGGTAGATCCTAATCTTGCATGTCCATTGTGCTCTTAATGAACAAAGGATTTTCCAGATAAAATTCATTCTCAAAACAGCCGTTGCTACCTCCGAGTACTACAAAATCAATTTACTTTCCACCCGGCAGCGTTTGACAGGTCACACGCAACTGATTCGCACCGTGAGCGCAACTATCTATCCTAAACCTGTGACACAATCATCACACAAGTTGAGGAATCTGAAAGGAAATGAGGAGGTGGAGCTTTATGCTATGAATCTGGGGTGGAAACCATCTCCCTCTATTCTCAGTTCCTCGGTGCATCCATTGAAGGATGAGCAGCTTGTTCTTTCAATAATCATCGTCGAAAACTTCGATCGCTGGACGAGGCTTTGTTCGTACCACTGCTACGCTCCTTTGCTTGCAATAGCTGTAACACATTAGAATTTCGACTGCTGTCGGTTCCATTTTCCTCGACGCTAGCAGAATCTAGTATACTACTTTCCTGCGCAAGGAGATTGGAGATACGGCTTTACAAGCATAATATCCTCTACTACTGGACGTGGACGTCAATGCTAGCTGATTCCAATCCATCACCGTGCTCGACTTTCAGTAGATTAAAACTTCAGGCATGCTACAAACTAAAATGCTTTCAGCAATTTAGTGATCCTTGAAGTCCCCATCGTTAAGGACGGGCTCAAAGAATAATACTGTATCAAACCAAAACTTCGAAGACCTAGTTCGAGGCAACGGGAAGTACCACTTCAAGTCAGAATCTATGTAAAGATTGGCTTCCTCTGTGTGATGAAAGCTAAATAGAATCTATAGAGAGCAAGATACACGCCAGAACCTCAGCATCTGCATCCTACATTATGGTGCTGAGTAGCACTTTATTCATCCCTCTATTCCCCCAGATTATTATTAAACAATGTATATTTACAATCCCCATCTGCTGACATTCATGAACTCTAACGACCGAAACGTCCGAATCATCCTTCAACAGAAAGCATTAGAAAACACACAAGTTTCTTATGAAAGCACACAAATCAAACCCAATTCGGAAACCAAAGCGAAATAACTTACGTGGGGCCATGGTCCATCATCCGCAGGACACCGAGCCCGGACTCGAGAACCCCACGACCCAAATCAATTGAAGAATTGTTGCAGCCGAAGCAAGACGATCCACCAAGGCTAAAACGGACTTAAGCAACGAAGGCTATTGATGAGTTGATCGCTGTGCCGAGAAGCTTACCCCAGATCTGCTTCAGAGGAACACCATGCAAAGTCCATGAAGATAATGAGAGACCTCGTCAAAATGACGCACCCCAAGTGACGAAGATCCACCACTTGACCCATCTCAAGGTAATTCTAGTCCTCCATCTTCGTGCTCTTGCCAATGGAGAAACATAAACGCTTGAAAGCTCATTGAAGCATTCTAAATCAGCACAAGTTTCAAAGTCTAAATTTCATTCTTCTCATGAAGAGCTTGTTTTGGGAATTCATCTTCAACTCCTACGGATCGGAACCGTTTCCATGTCTGCATCATCGCAGATATCTGGCGGTGATTGCTGCGATGCTGAAACATCGTTGATTCGATGATAAGAGTGAAAATTCTGAATGGTTCATGAATCCACACCGCGATCGATCCGATCTCACACAGACAGTGCCATAAGATGTGCAAAGGCGTTGGTTTCAAGCTGATCGAATGTTAGCAATTTTTTCTTCAATGAAATGGAAGGTATTCTATTGTCAGGTCGGCGTCGAAGTATGTTAATGTGGATGCCGTTGACTTCCACACGGACACATTACCGACAGTTTCGCCTCGTTTTCTTTACATGTTCAATGTGAAATTTGAAGTTCCGATTACATCACTCATTTCATTCATGAGAGAGTGTTCGTGCTTCACATTGTTATACCCAATGCTTTGATTATAGTAAGTGAGTACAAAATAACAATAAACTTATATCGAACATCATATTAGTGATCACACTGGGTTCAGTATTTTAAATCTAGGCGGCACAATAGCTTGTTTCCAATAAAAAAATCTTTTTTAAATTCTTATTTCTTAGAATTGGGAGTCAATTAATGAATAATTGATTATAGCCTAGTTTCAATTTTTTTAAAACTTGTTTAGGTTCCAAAAATCTATATAAAATAGTTTTTGATGTATGAAGATTATATAAGAAGCAATGAGTGTTTATGTGAGGATTAGCTTAGCTTATTATTGCTTTCTTTTGTGCATGTGATTTAAGTCAAAAGTCTTGCTAATTGAATTAAAAGATCATTTCTAATGTGGAGTTTTATTTGGTATAAAAAACAGATTTTTTGTAATAACATCCTATCTATTTTTGCATTTTATGTTGGTAATTCATCTCTACTATACTAAGAGAGAAGGTATTTGGATCAAAATTCAATTCTCTAATTTAGCAAAAGAAATTGATGTTTTGATTGTTTAAGTTTTTTTCTTTTGTCTTAAGAGTTCTTCTTTGACTTTTAAATAACCTTCTACTTGATTTTTTACGTTGTTAATGTAGACATTTTCTTATTTGAAAGATAGAATTTTATCATAAAATAAAAACTTTTACTAAATACTTATAAAATCTAGTTTTATTTTTGTTAATTTAAATAATTTGAATCCAAATTTTTCTTCAATAATTGACTATTTGGTGAATAACTGAAAATAAGAATTATAATTATGATTTGACTATTGTAAAATACATGTCTTATTCTTTAAAAACCATGTAAAAAGAACATAATTGCTTTTTTAAAGATCCCATATCTATTAACATTTTTTTTTTTTGATCCAACCAAAGAAGTTTGTCCCAAATATCATAAAAGATTTTAGAAGACCATATATGTAAAAAATTTTCTTCTAATTTTTACGTTGTGTATTTCCTTTATGTTTTATGTAAATGTGCCTAAGCACAATTTAGCCATCACTTATTTACAGTATTCAATTTAGTATGCATTAATCTATATTTCAAAAGTTTTTGGATATATTTGTAATCTAATTATAAGGCTTTTATAGCCCATTAGACAAGCAATACTTCAATAAAATCTTTTGATTTGATAAGTCCAATCTCTCTATTTTTTTATGGATTAATAATATAGATACTAAAAAACTTTGGATCAAATTAGAAATATTATACTAATATATAAGAAGATTTTTTTACTATTATTTTAATATTTTAAATTGCTTATAGAAATTCTATCTATAAGAGTAGGAAGATATATAAGAATGATAATAAAATATTATTAAAAATAACAACTTGACCAACCAAATTAAATCTATTAGAACACCAATTGTCAAATTTGCATTTTATTCTTTCAATAAAGAACTAGTCTATATTGTTAGTATGAAGAAATAATCCAAAAAGATACCTAGAAGTTTGCTTAGATCATTAGATGTTGCCTCAGCATATATAAAATTATTAATTCTAAGAAGTTTCATAGATTTTTTAAATTGCCAAGATTGTCTCATCTTATAAAGATTTCAACCAATCTTACATCTATTATTAATCAACTCATTCTTAAACATATCCACAAAAGGCATAAAAATCTTAGTAATTTCAAAGTAGGATCAACAAGGCATTGACAACACAATCATGGAGGCAAAGTCTTGGAGCATCATCTACTCAAAAGCATGACCTTATTTGGTTGCTACATTATCAAACTATGTGCTATCTTATTTGAGAGTATTCGAAGTACTTGGCTATAGGAGATAACTTGTATTCTGCAACAAACAAAGAATCTAACAATCCTAATAAAATTATAAGAAAATCTTAATTGAATCTTAATAATTATCGTCAAACCTTAATTTAATCCTAAAAAATCTTAAAGGTTTTTTTAAAATAATTAAAATAATTTATAAAGAACATTAATATTTTTTAAAAAAATCCTATATAATTTATAAATAAATTATTAAAAAATCTAAAAAAAATTATAAATAAATCATGAAGAAATATTAATAAAAGAAAATTTAAAATAAAAATTTTAAAATACTAAAAATAACCTAATAAATCCTTAATAAATTCTAATAAAATCCTAACTAAATCCTAAAAAAACTTAATAAAATTCAATTAAAATCCTAGAAAATCCGATAAAGCTCTAAAAATAATCTAACCAATTCTTAATTAAATCCCAATTGAGTCCTAACCAATTCTAATCCAACCTTTTTATAATTTTAAAACCTTTACAGTTATCAATAAAATTATTGATTTTAAATTTGTATACATTACAATATACTAGTTAGCAATATGCACGAAAAGTTTTAAATAAAATCAAACTTACTAATTAGAAGAAAAAGGTCTTGATTTGTTTGGATGTTGGGTATCCTCTTTCTTCAACCTTGATGTTAATCGACCACCAATTGTATCTCTTTACTATCCTATTTAATTGCCTTCAAACTTTACAAAAATGCTTCAACCTAAGTTTTTCTATCAAAATCGTCATATTCATTACACCATTGGGATCTTAACAGTACAAAAAATAATCAGCTTCTTAAATATTATAAAAAGAACTCACTCTTACTTTTGATATGTAGTACAGCAAGAATCAAACGACACAGAAACCTAAACGCTACATTGAAAGCAGAATATTTTGTGCTAGAATGACTCCCGGATACACGACGGAGATGGATGTGAGTTGAATTTTCACACAATCCGGATCGTTTGCTTCCGGAGCACACTATCACGTGTTCACTGTAGACTAGCAGTAGCGTTCTGAGCGCAGGAAAGCAAATCGTGACTGAGCGGACAGCAGATCGATGTGATGCAGAATTCGCCGGCTGGAAGCAGACTAATACGATCGGGGATTCACAAAAGTATGAGACAGATGAACCACATGATGAACGTTGGACCAGTTTCACATCAGTCAGGGGATGGATCGGAGGCAGCAAAGTTCAGAATTTAATTGAGAGCAAACTTTACTGAGCAATTGCAAATCGAAAAACAAGCACAGGCAGCTGCCGCTCGGATGCAACTACTCACAATGATGATGATTATTATTGATAATTGCTATGGTTTCTCTGCCCCGAAAAGAGTGGCGATTTACTCCTAATAGAGCGGTAGCCATAGCTTGGAAGCTTCGATACTTTTTTTTTGTCTTTCCTGACGAATCTTACACACAACTGATGAGGAAGCTCACGCCAAGGTTAAGCCCCTCCCGATCCAAACCGTCGTGAGAGACGACGGAGGTCTTCATTTGTGGCAGTCGCAGTCGGCGCAGCTGCAGCCGGGTCCACATTTGCAGTCGTTCTCTGCGTTGTAGCTGGACAATTCACACACACAGTCAAGGATCGCAACACGTTAGAACCATGTCCCGATGACCAACCCTTTTCCACAATTCTACCCATCTGAGACTTCAAGCAAAAGGAAAACCCCTGAGAACAATCTAACATATCGAATTGCAGAATTCCGCGAGAGAGTTCACACAATTTCATCTGGAACACGAAGGGCAGAAGAGAGCAGAGACACACTTGCGAAGGCCACCGAAGGTGGGCTCAGCCAAGGACCTGCACTTGCAACTTGAAGGGTCGCACTGGCAGCTAGAACCGCAACAACAGGTGGAAGATGAGCATCCAGACATGGTGTACGATCGGAGTGATTGTTGACACAATCGAGCAATCTGAGCAGAAGGTGTGTTGCGGAGAAAGATGGCAGTAGACGAGAACTAATCGGGAAGATGCGAGAAATGCTGGCACAGGGAGCTCCTTTTATACGCTTAATTGGCCGCGAAGCCTGCGGCTCAGATAAGCTTCTGGAGAGCTCTAGGAGCTTCCTTGTAGATGCCCGTGGCCACCAAAGTCCAAAGGCATCAATCATTGGGTCCTCCAACTTGATCCTGCTCACTGTTCCCATCGAAACGCCTGCATATTCTTGTGTTTAATCTTGTGATGAGTCTCCGTTTCTGTTACTCGTCTCGACGTATCTGCCCTATGCCGATCCATGCAGCGCTGTTACCCTGTCTCATGATCAACTCAGGCCAGCATGCGCAGGTCTTGGTGGAGATCACTGGGGCTTAAATTACTGGTAGGAGTTTGGGTGTTGGGTCCCGAATCCATTCTCGTGCATGCGCTTGCTTCCATGCGCTGAAATCCAAACCCTGCTCGAGCGATTGCAGATGCTGCTGAAGGTGCAAGCTTGAAAGCTTCGTTGCTGTTGCGTGGTGAAGATGAAGTGTGAAAGGGGCATGGATTCTTGCAAAAAACAACACGATGCTTGTCGGTTTCAATGCTCCAGTGCGTTGTCGAAATGGGAGGATCATGATTGTTGCCTAAACGCTGGCAATAAATTTTATTATGATTTTTCAATGCCACTTATTTGACATGCATGCGAGTTTAGAATCCTCTGTATCTCACAGCAACTTAATCCAACTGAATTATGCACACACACACACTAGCACATGCGTTTTCTCAATACCAAACCTTCATGTTCTGTCGAATCGAAAAGTAAATGAATAACTATGATTTGAACTTCATACATTGATGTTTGAAGATGATTTCTACAAGATTTACTAATCACATCAAATTTTATAACTGGAATCTGTAGAACTTGTTACAGCAAAAAGATAGAAATAAATGTTACACTTCAAAATCGAAATTTTTTAAACAAATGTACCCATTCGTCAGTGAATTTGAGAAAAGAGAATGTTATATATATATATATATATATATATACATATATATAGTGTATATACACACAGACACACAGTAAATTTAGATTTTAAGGTGTTTGCAGGATTGAGATAGCTTGCAATTTGATGAAGAAAACTGGCGCAACAAGCGGTCGGTAATCGAATCAGGAACAGGCGAATGGGACCATCTCTGACACCCTAATTTTTAAGTGCCGTGGATCTCGCCGTCCTTGTGAATCTGTTGATAAGAATCGGGACTCACAGCAATGGCAACAGCGGCATTGCGATTCCTCGATGGGGTCCCGCATCCACTGATTCACAAGCAAGAGGATGCTTCTCCGAAGTAACGCTGATCTATCTCCGAACCCGGACGGTGATTCTCGCCCCACTTTGGAAGTGCCCTCAACCTGCTACTTCATCTGAGAGCCCCGAACCATGATCGGAGGTAATGCCGCATCAGGCACTGGATGCGGGAAACGCTACGATTGGGCATCTGGGCGATGCTCCACAGTGCGATGCGGAGGAGCAATGCAATGTTCGGCAGGTGATCCATTGGAGTGACGGTTCGACTGCCGTGCCAGAGAAGCTACTGGTTTCGTGGAACCAGCCAGAACGATACGACAAGGACTCTCACCAAACGCGGTCACGACCCTCATGCCCTTTTCACCCTCTCCTTCTCCCACTACGGCTTCTAGCAATGCCAGCGACTCGGTGAATTTCGACCATCAACTCACGGCATCGATGTGGTGCCGCGAGTAAGTATTGCGATCGAACAGGCACGGATGTGAAAGAGGGGTGGAGGAGGAGCAGGAATGCTATTGTTTCTATTCAGGGCAATGGATGAGGACCGAAGCATATTCCGATGGTAAGCAGCGCGATTGACCCTTACAGGGTGACAGAAGCCAGATGGGGGTCTCTACCCGAGAAGTGCACTTAGCATCCGAATCTGGTTCTCTCCTTTTGACCTTTCCATTGGAAAAGAGGTCCTTTCGTGCCGCTCACTGTTCACTAGCCGTTGAGATTCCTCCTGGCACCAGTTACCCGCAGAAGCCTGATCTGATTGATGATGAGGAAGAGGAGGAGGAAGAAAGGATGCGTTCCGGTTAATATCTCTCTCTCCCTGCACAGCCCTCCTGTGCGGTAAAAACTTTTCTGGCAGCACCCAGTTTGCCCCATAGTATCATGCTCCAGTCGTGCTACACAGTGACTGTCCACTGGCTCTGCAATATCATCAGCTTCGAGAGCACGACCAGAAATATCTAGTGATCGGCACCTCTCCCTCACCCACACGCACACCTGCAGCGACCGACAACGCCTCGCAACTCCACCGCGGCTTTCTTCTAGAATCACAACCACAGCCACCACCACCACCACGAGTAGGGTGAGATCCATGGCACACCCAATCAATGCCACACTCTGTCAGGATCCCTCGCAGAAACTTTTTCCTGATGCGCTTGTTGCTTGCAAGAATGCAGATTCTGCTGAATTGGTATTCAGGTAGATGCAATTATTGTTGCTGTTGTTGAGGAATATTTGATTGTGCAGCCCTGTTACATAAACAGTTCAAATTAGCAAAGATGTTGCAAAACTCAGGCTAATCTCTTGCATGTATGTTTGATAAGGTGATACTTCATACACGAGTTTTACCTTAGCTATGGTAACTAGTAAAAAGCCATTTACCTAATCCTAATGTTCAATGCGGCAAGGGCACTGCTGCCGCTGTCGATATGGAGGGATGTGATGTAAACGGCACGCCATCAAGTTCTTATCAATGCTCAATATGCGCAAGTTGGAAGTGAGGTGGTGCGACATGGTGGCAACAGTTTGAGCTGGAAGTGGAATAGTTTTGAGAATAAGATGCAGGTTGGGTATATCCAACATCTCCCCTCAATTTGCATTCATGATCCCTCACTCTCACAATGATACTTTTGCATTTCTCTTCAAGCAAGGCAATGGATTGTTATATATGGTTGATGAATTATCCATGGTAGGTATTTGGGTTGTTTTTCTTTCATTTCTTCATTTCATTTTGTCATTGCATAGTGTACTGATGTTGGCTATGTTCAATTTCATTTTGTTCTTTTCATTTTGTGGCTCGTCATTGTTGTCTTTTGTCATGTATGTGGTTTACTAGTCAACCTTGTTTTGTATTTGCTAAGGTTGTCTGTATTCTACACTAAAGGAGAGAGTACAGTTGGTTATTCTTCACTCAAGAATGTGAGCTCATCTGCGTTGCAATTGACAAGAACTACAAATTTTATTGGTATTGATTCTCTTCTTTTTATGCTATACATTAAGGTTACACGACACAGATTTACTTGTCTTGGTTGGAATGTAGCAAAAGTGTCCATGGTTACAAAGGGTCAGAATTTAGGAAGTTTTGGAGTCTCAAGGATGCAAAACAATATCTACAAAATAGAAGCCAAGTTGTATTAGCTAACTCTAAATATTATTCTTCTTGTTTAATATAAACCTATTCTGGTATTATTTTCAATCTAACAAACTCTATGTTTTCAATAAATTCTACTGGGCTTAATGTTTTAGTAAATATGTTTGCTTGTTGTAAGTGTGTAGGAGTATGTCTTACCTCAATCATGTTGTCTTAATGCTTGTCTTTGACATAATGATAGTCCAATTCTATATACTTGGTCCTTTGATGCATGATTAGATTACAAACCAATCTGATACTACTTATGTTATTGCACATTAATGGCATGGGATTTTTGTTATCTAAGCATAGTTCTTTGAGTAGCCTTCAAAAATAAGTGATGTTTTTGTTGTCTCTGATAAAACATAATATTTGACTTTTGTTGAAGAGAACATGATTTTTAATTGAAGCTTGCTTGATCATGCAATTAGAGTTGAGCCAAGTTTATAGAATTTGAGAGTCAATATTACGTAAGAGTCAATTTTTGCATCAACAAATGTAACTAATCTTTCTTTGTTGCTATAGGAATAAAATATTCCATAATTTTTTGTGCCTTTGAAATAATATAATATTTTCTTTGGTATAGTTAGGTGAGCAAGTTAACAACTTTTCTAATATCTCAACACTTTATCCACTCCAAATTGAATGTCTCAATAGCTTGTAGTTGCATATAGTAGCCCACTAACTAGACTTTGGTATTTTTTGTGATCCATTGTAAGAATTTTAGTATCCTTATGTAATTTTTCTTTTAGATTTATGGATATAAAAAAAATATTTACAACAGATTATACAAACTTATTTAGCAATATTTGAATGTAGCATTGTTGATGAAAGTATATATGTTTAGAGGTGTGTTTCAACTCAATTCTTAACTAAAGTTTTGCACCTATTAAGTTAGTCATCTTATAGATATTCATTAGTTTATGCTTAGATTGTTGAATGTGCAATGTATTATCTCTTATGACAATGATGTCATCTATATAGAATAGTACTATTGTATAATTTCCATTTTGAATTATAAAATATATGTTGAGGTCTTTATTGTTTTTTTAAATATTTTGATCTTAGAGGTATGACTCTATCTATCTATACCACGCTTTGGAAGCCTAATAAAGGCCGTACAATGCATGTTCCAATTTACAAACTTTTTTCTTACTTTACTTCTCTTCAAATCCTAGTAATAGTATCATAGAGACTTCTTCATATAGTATACTATTGATAAAGGCTGTTTTAATGTCCAAGTGTTATATTTTCTAATTTCTTCTTGCTACTAATGCCATTATTTGTGTTATTATTAACCACGTAACTATAGGTGCAAATGTTTCAAAGAAGACTATTCTTTCTTTGTATGCATATTTTCAATCTATAATTTTGGCCATTAATTTTTTAGCTTTATTGCTTGAGCCTAATTGGTTTTAAAGATCCACTCAGATAATATTAGGGCCTTTCCTTCAAGTAAGTCAACTAGAGACCAAGTGTTATTTTTTTATATCAATTCAAATTCTTATTTTATTTCTTCTTTCCATTTAATATATTGCATAGCTATTTTATAATTTTAGAATTTAATATAAATTTCTAATATAAAGATAAAACTACTTTTAAATTTAGAATTTGATTTTATATTTTTAATTAGATACTTGCTTTATCTTATATATTCTATAGTTGTTAAATGAGGAGCATATATATCTATGTTGTCTTACCATTTGTCATATACATACACATGTAAATCAATAATTACCTTTACGATTAGATAAAAGTGGATAAAAGTAACTTAATTCCATAATAACTTCTATAGACGTTTCTTAAAAGCTT